TTTGTGAAATATCCTTATCATCAGATCTTATTTCAATCATCATGTTAAATTTAAGTTATGATAGTAGAATTCTTAAAACAGCCCAAAGACAAACAGGAAATTCATATGAATCATATTTAATCGCTTCTGTGTTCTCTTTACAGGTAATAATGAATCCAGTAAAAAGGCACATCCAGACAGTGGAGGTGAGTTTTTATTTACTACTTTCACATCACTTTAGTCAAGACAAAGAGGAAATCTATTTGCACTGACATTTTCTTTACAGGTAAACATGAAAATACTAAGTTAATCTCATATAATTCCTAACTAACTCTAAAATAAACAATGTGTGCAGTTCTACCAAAAGACAGAGAATCCTACACTGTGACTTACGGTTGTCTGATGGTTTTCTTCTTGATGGCTGTTGGCGTGGTCCTCAAAGCTAAATGCCCAAGCAAAGGTAAAGCTGACATGTGATCTTTGGACCGTCCTTACACGTTTTGTAACTGATTGAAATAAAAAATGTTTATCATTAAACTGATCAGACTTTAATTTTTTCATGTAGAATCAAAGGAGAAGAGCCCAGGCAGAAACAAGGTGACACATCTTTTTCAGATATTTAAATTCCATCATGAGTTCTACTCTTGTGTGCGTTGTTTTTTTCTGTATAATTACCATGTCTCAACCTCGGTTTGGACGGTTTCAGCCTCTTATAGGTATACTGACTCAAGAAATACACAGAAATGTTAAATAATTTGTGTCCACAGGCACAATTTCCGCTGTTATTTTATTTTTATTTTATTTTCCTGCATCCTTGAGCTTCCTTGGTTGTTTCACAGCTGCAAACTCCTTGGTCAAGCCTATTTATTTGGAACGATAAGGTTGACGATGGTAACTCACAATGCCTGCAGACAAAAGGGAACTATGTGGGATGGTGATCAGATGTATACATGGAACTCTAGCTGGAACATGTACAGACTCTGTTTTGGTGTCACCCTGTGATTGTAAATGCTTCTCTTCCAGGCTCTGGGCTCCTCTGCAACTCTGGGTTTCCCTCCAAAAACTAAAGGAAGCAAGAAGCCTGCTAAAGACAGAGCCGTGGAGACTCATGTTATCTATGCTTTCATTATAGACAACACATCTTCTGTGTTTGATTGAAAATGGCTTTTTTTGTATTAAAGTTTGGATATGAGGCCGTATCTGCCTTTAAAAAAAAAACTTTTGTGTCCACCTGCGATGAACACGGAAAGGGATTCCGATTAGTGAGGAGGAGCCAAAGCAGACACAGATTATCATAAAAACTCAAAGTGAGAGTCGCACAATCTGCCGTGGAGAGGAAGGGGGTGAGATACACATCACTGAACAGGAAGAGGCAGCACCGTGTGGTCTGAGCAGAAAAAGCCTCGGCAGGCCGCCCCTCTCAACCCTGAACCAGAGTTGGTGAAGATTTTTTGTAAGATTAAGTTTAAAATTGGCAGTAAAATAATGAAAATCCTGATCACGGCAGATAAGCTGGGTTGGAGTCTTTAAAAACACGAAGACTGCAAGCTGACCACAAACGTCAAAAGACAGCACAAAGTAAACCCTGAATTTTGAAACTCCCAGAGAGCCCCTGTAGCTCTCAGCTCCTCTCTGTGTGATGCTGGTGGTCACTGAGCAGGAAGCAACAAGTGAGGGGTGTGAGGGAGGCTGAACCACCACAACGCAGAGATGACTGTTAGTTTGACAGGAAAAACACAGCCTGGTTTAACCTCTGTGCGCAGACTAAAACTATTTTTTTGATCAGACTTTATATCTATGTCTATTCACGTCAATAATTTCATCATTTTTTTTCTTAAACGTGATGCAATTGATGTGTGAATGAAAAAGGAAAAGCAATAGTGTTTTTTAAAAACCTTTCTGTGTTTGAATACACATACTGTGAAACAACGCGCCCCCAACCCAACCCTCTTGTAACTTTCCACTGTGGTGGCAACATTTCACCAACTCGAAAAAGAACAACAAGCCACAATGAGAGTCAACTTCAGCTCTGCAAAAACAATCACACAAAACGAAGGCGTTTTTTTTCTCTGACATTTTAAAATGTGAAAATAGTTGTTGGCTCTATAAGAGGGTGTGGGTAAGGGCTAGGGTGCTGGGGGTACAGTAAGTGCGTTTGGATTGGGGTTGCAGGGCTACGGCTGATTATTAGCTCATCACGGGGGCATGACCAAGTTAACCAAACGTGCTTCTCTGCAGTGGGAGGAAAATCAAAAATAAACTGGTGCATGCGAAGGGAGAACGTGCAAACTCACCTTTCAGTCACATCACATGAAGAGATGTGATGGTTTCTATAAATGTAGGGCAGAAAGAAAGAGATAGCAGGTGGGCTTTGGGGGTCCGACATGTGGCCATGGGGGATGTGCCTATAACTGGAAAGGAAGCAACTGACTTTCAGAGTAAAATTACAGTTGAATTCAGACATAATTAAAAGAAGAAGAAGGAGTAACAGCATTTATTGTCCAGCAAAGGTGAAATTCATGTTTAACACAAGCAAAAATGTACATAATCTGGTGGTGCGTTGAGGTTTGAGGTTGTTTTAGGTTCTCATTTACCCTCTTTTGTATCCAGAGAGCCAACCTGGGGCAACCTTTTCAGTCCCGTCAGTTTGAAACACCCGTGCAGCACATCAATCAATGCATCACCAACTGGGCGTGTGTGGGTTTGTTAATAGTGAACTATCACCAAAATCTAACAAGAAGAACTGTCTCAAAGGGTTGTTACAGGATGGTAAAAGCTGGAGGTCTTTTCCTGTTGAGGACCGGGAAATCCAGTTGTTGCTCTGGATTGTTGCAAAATTTTGATCGCGATCCTAGTCTAGCAACATGAATAATCCAGATATACGGATGACGATGGGAAGGGCAATTAAGGACAAATAGAAGAGAAAAACAAAACAAACATGGGACAAATGACTGACAGAATGATTTCTCTTACACTGGCCTTGTACAGGGAACGAGTTCTGTTGCTGGGCCTGGAAGTACCATCTTTGTTAATTACGTCTGTCCATGGGCAGTGATATACTGTATACCACATAATAGCAATTAAATGCATTAGCTTCAGGCTAAATGTGAGGACAATAAACTAAACCTCATTATCCCTGAAACGTCTTGGGGTGCGTACGCGTCAACCTGGGAGACTTTTTGTACACACAGGCAGACATGGAAGCTCAGAATCTGGCTTTCACCGCAGTTATCACAGCAGTAAAAGCCAATAACCACAAACAGCTTCCTCTCTTCAAATTGCTTTTATCTGCTAGTTACAGGAGCCAGAATTTGATGCGGTAAGAAGCCTGTTCAAATCCCTGCACTGTACTGCTGCTACACATGCTTGTACTGTATATGTGTACAGTAGAAAAAGCTAGTGGAAAGGAGCACACAAATTAGCATTAAAGAGGAAAAAATGCAGATTTTCCTTTTTTGCTGTCAATTGTTGACATTTTCTAAGACTGCACCAGGTGTCAGGTGGAAAATATTTGCAAGCAGCGTGAATGCCACACATCTATAAGTTCGAGTTTTTTACTCTAGTGCCCGTGCAATACTCTGTGTGGTTCACTTTGTTAAATTAGTTGCTCTTTGTTTAGTAGATCTTCTTTCTGATCAAACTTTTACCTGTAAAGTGATATGATAGTTTGCACCTCGGTGTCAGTGTGAGCAGTCGGATCACTGAGAACAGCCCGCCTCCGTACAGTGGCTACAGCAAGTGGTGCACAGTTCACTTTCTACCATTACACTGACGGAGTCCTGCGGTGCGCACAAAGATGAGCTTCACAGTGATTCTGGCTTTAATCTGCACCTTCAGTGAGTACAGAGGCATACTCTAATTTAAGACCCTTTATTTAAATCTCTGTGATGATCTATCAGAAATTCACTTATACCGTGAGTTCTTTTCTCTTTGGTTCTCGCTGAATATGAACTTTCTGTGTGTTTGTTTCAGGTTGGGTGTCTGTGTCGGTGTCAGAGTTTCTCACCGTGGAGGTCCAGCCTGGTGAAGAGGTCACACTGCTGTGTTCTAACTTCAGCAGTTTCCCTACTTTCATATTTTGGTTCAAAATGGGCAATGAACCAAACGCGACCTGCATCTCACATATGACCAGTTCTGACTCCAATGCTTCACTTTGTGACGGATATAAAAATGATCAATTCAAAATGACCTCCAACACCACAAACCTTTTTCTGAACATCAAACAAGTGGATTTATCCGACTCTGGACTGTATTTCTGTGGACTTTACAGAGATGGACACTCTGTCATTTTCACTGCGACACATTTACAGGTTCAAGGTAAGATTTAAGTAATTGATATTGTAGTGACTGTGTAATTACTGCAAACTAATACTGCTTTGAACAAACTGACAGTCTCTCCTCTAGATGCATATAACGGGTTAACAAATAAACTGATCATCATCCTGGGAGGTGGAACTATTTTAATTATCATAGTTGTCATCTGTGTGGTTGCCAGAATCAGGATATTTCCTACAGGTACGTTTTTGTTTTAGTTGGAGATTTACAAAATTACGTAATCTATACTCTGAAATGAATAACTGATCAGATTAAATGTTTTTGTCATTCAGCTCAAATTGCTGAACAGAATCCGCAAAATGCCGAGGTAATCACAATCCAATTTCATTATGTTTAGTCTACAAATCTTATACTAAATTTTATTAACCAGCAACTGTAACTTCTGCCATTTACAGACATCGTCAGATTCCCTGAACTACACAGCAGTGAGTTTCCATCTCAGATCAAAAAGGAAAAAAAGAATGGTGGAAGACAAAGAGCTGGCGACACACGTGGTGTATGCTGCCACAAAATAATCACAAAGACGGAACTCAATTGTTTGTAAAACTTATCATTTTTGTCTTTCGTGTATATGGCTGACTTTCAAGAAGAATAAAAAAAAAGATACAAAATTCTGTGTGATTAAAAGTTGGCCTTTCTCTCTGTACATAACGATGTGGTTGGTGTGTGATGGAGGCGGAGCCTGTGAGGATTCGGATGGCAGTGCAGACAAAGTGGAAGTATGGTACAAGGGGGGGGAAAATAGGTGACACATGTCAATTAAAGGAAACAAACAACTCTGTAGTATCACTTTTAGGTCAACTCTTTCACAGAAGAAAAGAGAATGTATAGTTTAGATCATGTTTTCGAAACCCTCTGTCATGGTTTCACTAATGCCTCCCAGCTGACCTTATACCCCTCGCCTGTGTATCTAAAGCCTCCTTCGTATCGATCGTTTAATCGCATCGCCACAGAGTTCCAGCACCTATTGCAAGTACCAAGCCAAGTTTCTGCATGACCACAAGTTTGGTCTTGCCTTCGTAGGCCAAGTTTTATTATGGTCATTCTGGTTTGGAACCCTTGTGTGTCCATTGGATCACCCTGTCACCTCATGATTCAAAGTAATCTGCCATTCTGGGTATGATCCTGGCCAGGATAAATGACACTTCTGTTGGATCAAGAGTCAATCCGTTAGATTTCACGATTCAGGATTATCCCAGGACATATCACAGCCTAGTCACATTTTACCCTTCGGGATTGGTCCCAAGACTCCCAAGTCTGCACTAAAGAAGCTACTGCTCAATTTTCCTGATGTATTATAGAAAATAAACATACTTATATTACTCCTTGGGTGGCATGGTGGTGTGGTGGTTAGCACCATCACAGCAAAGAAGGTCCTTTCTGTGTGGAGTTTGCATGTTCTCCCTGTGTCTGCGTGGGTTCTCTCCGGGCTCTCCGGCTTCCTCCCACCGTCCAAAAACTCCTATTACTCCTATGTGGTTTGAGTTTACAGGTCCATTCAGGTCTGAGTTTCCCAACACATTTCTTCATATCCAGCTGCACCCAACATTCCCACTCACATACCTACACTATCCGATAGGTGGTTCCAAGAAGCAGACTGTAGACAATTAGGATTCAAACAGTTTAACAATTTATTGGTTAGGTGATGAGTTTAGTATTAATTGTTTTTCCTGCAAGGGGGCACATGGGTAAGGCAACAGGTGGAGGAACATCTTTACAATATGGGCAGGTAAGTCTGACACCTGAAGAGTATCCATGAGTAGATACTCCTGATTGAGTCTCTCTGAGAACAGGTTTGGAAAGAGTTTTAGTGGTGACTTGATATAGACCTTTTAGGACTTCAACTATGCTCAGTGTGCACTTCATCTGCAGGTAAGTCGGTCCTCTGTGAGACGTGGTGTGAATCTACCTGATATTTGAGGAAGGATCTATTGTTTTCTGACAAGAGCTATTGACAGGCTTGCCCAATGCATAATTTGAGATCCTTAGAGGGCTAAGGCCTCTTCTTTCTCTTTTTAACATGAAAGTGTGTATGGCAAAAAACGAATTGGTCCATTGCAGCCACCAACTAAACTAGAGTGGCAATCGAAAAACATATCCTTTGGGAAGCTGATTTGAGATGGGCCGACGCCAGTTAGATATAGTTGGGCTCATCTCCACACACAACATGAGCGAAGCTCCTTGGGAAGGGTTTAGACTCTCTCATACTCTGGACATAGGTGTTATGCGGGTATGGGGATACTCCCAAGCATGACTGGATAGACATTTTGGGCTTGATCCAAGGTCTTTTGAGAAGGCTGACGGGTTCCAAGGGGCTAACAGGGATTTTTTTGTTTTGTTTAGTGTTACATCACTGTTCTTTGCAGATGATGTGGTCCTGTTGGCTTCTTTGGGCTGACACCTAAAACAAACTTCAGAACAGTTTGCAGCTGAGTGTGTAAAGGCCAGGAAGATGGCCGACTCTGGGGCAATGGTTCTCAGCTGGAAAAATGTGGAATGCCCATTAGTATACCCTTACTTTAGCGGCACTACCACAAAAAAATAAAATAAAAATGAGTTGAATTGATTTAATTACATCTTGTTATGTTCACACAGAAAATCAATGAACAAAGAATTCATAGTCAGATAAAAGTTTTGGTTTATTGGCACTGCAATCGAGGCTAATGTATCAAACCCAACTGTCAGATGTACTCTGTTCTTCTATTGATGTGAGTGTCTGGTGGCAGCATACACCACATGTGTCTCCAGCTCTCTGTCATCTGCTGATCTTCTGTTCCCTCTGGATTCTTGACAGAAATTCACTGCTGTATAGTTCAGTACATCTGAGGATGTCTGTAAATGAAAGTAGTAAGTCATAATTTAACAACTTGTGATTAATAAACAAAATATAAAAAATCAAAGTGTGATTACCTCTGCATTTTGTGGATTCTGTTCCTCAGTTTGAGCTGAAAGACAACAACATTTCATCTGGTCAGTTACTCATTTTGAAGTTCAGACTTCGTTATTTTTAAAAAGGTTTAAACTGAAATGAAAACTTACCTGCATGAAGTATCCTGATTCTGACAACCAGACAGATGATGGCTATTACAAGAAAAATAATTCCACCTCCCAGGGTGATGATCAGCTGATTTGTTAACCCATTAGACACATCTACAGGAGAGACTGTAACAGTTTGTACACAGCAGTGTTAGTTTGGAGTAATTACACACTACAATATCAATTACTTAAATCTTACCTTGAACCTGTAAATGAGTCGCACTGAAAATGACTGAGTGTCCATCTTTTTTGTATCCACAGAAATAAAGTCCAGAGTCGGAGAAATCCACTTGTTTGATGTTCAGAAAAAGGTTTGTGGCGTTGGAGGTCATTATGAATTGATCGTTTTCATATCCATCACAAAGTGAAGCATTGGAGTCAGAATAGCTCATGGATGAGATGCAGCTGGCCTTGGGTTCGATGGCCATTTTGAACCAAAATATGTGCCTGACCAACCTACTAAAGTTGGAGCACAGTAGTGTGACCTCTTCACCAGGCTGGACCTCCACGGTGTGAAACTCTGACACCGACACAGACACCCAACCTGAAATAACGACATAGATGATGAATGCAGATAATCCAAATTCAACAAGAACCCAAATAAAGTGCATTTCTGTGCTGTTCAGAAAACGTGGATTATATATGTATATCTATAGGTGTACTTACTGAAAGTGCAGATTAAAGCCAGAATCACTGTGAAGCTCATCTTTGTGCGCACAGCAGGACTAATGTTAGAAAGGGAACTGTGCACCAGTCACAGTACCCACTAAAAGGAGGCGGGCTGTTCTCTCAGCGACCCGACTGCTCACACAGAGAAAAACAATACAGGAAGACATTTAGAAACAGAATTTTGTAACGTCCACATCCACGAGACGTTTTGAATGGACGGTCAATAATATTTGTGACAAGCAGTCGAGTCTGTGGAGCTACAGATAGCTGATGACACTGTAACATCAGATTTAGTTAAATCATGACATACTCTGTTTCCTGTTTTTGGTGATTGATGATGCCCTGACCTGATTTCCATGTGTATGACAAATTATTCCATCAGTAAAAACCCATGAAATCTCACCCGGCTCATGGTGATTGTGCGATCAATGTTTTTCAGAATCAGTAGACTCAACATGGATGTGGCATAAAATGTCTCCTGCTGACAAACGGTCTTCTTTTGGGGCTCACCCTGTAAGCCAACAACACGGTTAGTGCAACAGAGAACAAAAGCTTGCAGCTGAGAGTTTCCAGTGGTGGTGGTCTGGGGGCCCTTCTTGTGGCACCTCCAGTATGCTGTGCAATGTTGTACCTTTGTGTTTGCGTAACTGTGTGCTTGTGCGTGGGATTCATGTTTGCTGTGGGGTTGGTTTGAAACATAGCTTGCCCTCATCAATCTGCCTCTTCACTGGTGAACTTAAGCCACTGTCAGTAAGCAGTTATTCACTGTTTTTTTTTTTTACTTTGGAAATTATATCTAATCACGGATCACTTCTTCTGTTCTAAGTAGAAATCAGTGTATGGGGTACTGATCTTGTCCTCTACATCTGAGACAGGTGTAATGGTTTTTAGATATCAGAGTTTTAAACTAGTACCTACTCAGTGTGGCTCAGGTCAAACTTGATTCGGTTTATCGCATTTTCATTAAGTGTTGGTTCCAAGCGAGCTGACTAGGGTGGACACCAGAAAGCTGGGAATTTTTTGGTTTTCAGCACCTGACCTGAACCCAGGACCCAATGTCCCTCCACAATCACAAATAAGGTTACCAGTGTAATCTCAGCTCTCTGAAAACCAAGTGAGATTTCTCACTATGGCGCAACCGATCACAGCTCTGTTAGCGTCAAACCTATCATGAAAAGCCAGGAACCACATGCCTGACAGGGGGGTGCTGCCATTCAAATTTAAAAGTTTGTTTTGAGGCCTCTGACAGACTAACATCTGGTAACAACAATGCAGCTGCACTGTGTGCAATTTTTACTGCATAAATTAAAATGTTCCTGTCTCATTCAACCTTATTCATTCAGTTTTTAACCTTATAGTTAGGATTTACAGTAAGTTCACATATATCTCAGGAGAATGTTCTGATGGTGATCAGAAATAGTCTGAAGACAGCTGAAGAGCATTGTTACCACCAGCTTATACATACGATGCATGTTTATATTCATGCACACCAGTATTGTCTGTACAAAGTTTCATGTGAGGCAGTTCAATTAGTTTCCAACCACGGTACGAGAACTCTGTTCCATCACGACGTCACTGTGCTTAATGACATAAAGAAGAAAAAAAAACACCCCGCCCCTCTGGACCACTTTATAAGAGCAGAGATCAGCAAACTGAGCCACTCTGAGCCACACGATGAGGAGCTTAGTCCTGATAACGGCTTTGTCTCTCTGCAGACTCAGTAAGCACGGCCACATGGAGTCGCCTGAATGCTGAGTATTCAGCATGTGACCGTCTCTCTGCTCTTTGTTTCAGGCTGGAGCTGCGAGTCCCAGACTCTGGAGGTCCGGTTGGGGGAAGACGTCACTCTGACGTGCTCCAACATTTCTGCATCTTCAACTCTCGTAGACTGGTTCAGAGTGGCCAAAGGAACTCAGCCCAGCTGTGTCTCTTCTATGTTTGATTCCCACTATGAAGCTTCACTCTGTGATGGATTTCAAAGCGGAAAATTTAATATGAGCTCCAACATCAGCACTATTTTTCTGCAAATCAAAGGAGTGGATTTCTCTGATTCTGGGCTGTATTTCTGTGGAGTCTACAAAAACGGTCATACGGTCCTGGGCAGCGCAATAGAATTAATAGTTAAAGGTAAGATAGGGGTCACTTGTGAATTTTTTGCCTTAATTTGTCCTAATCCTATCATTGTTTTATCGTATTTTTCTCATTATGTGAACTGCTAATCTCAAACTGTTTTGACCCAAATATGAAAAAACCTTGAATTACATTGCACTCTTTTCTTTACGGGTAATCCACTGAAGAAGGGCATTCAAACAATGGAGGTACGTTTTTTTTTCTCCTTCTCAGATTCCCAAACATAAAGCGGCCACATTGAAATGTTTAGTGTTATATTTTTTCACAGAAAAAGCTGATGGAGTTGAAGACTTGATGAGTGTGATCCTGGGAGCTCTGAGTGTTTTCCTGACTGTGGTGGTCGTTGTTCTGGCTGTAAGAATCAGGAGACTTCAGACGGGTACGGCCGACTGCTGCTAACACACTCCTTTCCGTCAGGGTATAGATGAATCAACAAGTAACAGAAATAATTAAATAATTAATCTTTTTAATTTAACTTTTAACTTTTAGCTCTGCATGACGGACAGTCGGTAACGGAGCTGGAGGTAAAACATTTTTTCCCCATTTTTCTACAACTGCATATGATTTAGTGTTAAACATTCAAATATGATCTAATCTAGAGTGAACTGTAACAATTTACCTTCAATTTGCGCTCATTTTAATTTTTTTTTAATTTGATAACTTGATCGTTGTGGGGTTTTTTTATTAAAAAGATATTATAAAAGCTGGGCTCTATGAATGAAGGAACTTATGTGTTATCTTCACTGTGTCTGTAAAACCTGAAATGTCATTGGTATAAAAATATTTTTGAAAAATATGTAAAAAATTATCTTGAACATATGATGAGTCTGAAAAATTCAACCCAAGCTGCTATGTCTATTCTCATTGTTCCATTGCTAAGAGGTTTTTCCTTTGTTCAGAGACTGTTCTAAACAGTCCAGCACATCTTGTCTTTATTTTACATACCTGGTTTGATCGTTTCAAAATTTCAAAAGTAACTAACTTTTTATCACAATTCTGAAAATGTTATTTTTCAGGAATGAAATCCAAACAAAATGCCACATTTGATCAACTCAGCCGCTGTGCTCATGAGTATTTTTTATTGACTTTCAGATTACGGCTTCCGATCTGAACTACTCGGCTCTAAATTTCCAGGCCGAAGCAAATCGGAGGTCCCGGCCTGCGTTAAGGAGACAACCAGACCCGCATGTCGTGTACGCTGCCACCAGATAGACTCAGCAAACCGCTGGAGCTGCAGCTTACAGAGGAGCGCAGGCTTCTTCACATTCACTTCCTTCCATTTCTCTGTCTAAAAGTGACCAAAGGAAGAAAAAATCTATTTGTCTCTGTGTTCAGATTGCTCATATCTTGTCTGCCTCTTAGCTCGGGTCTCAGCAGCAGACTTTCTCAGGAAGAGAGTCGAGTGGTCCGCTGCGGGTGGGTTTAGACACACAGGAAGAGGCAGCCCCGTGTGGTCTGAGCTCACCTAAGATGACAATCATGAGGTCTCTAAAGCCGAACACACAAGACCAGTGAAGCACAGACCCAAAAAAGATCACACGTCTTCCTCAAAGAGCGCCAGTCCCGTCTGTCATTGTTAAACTCTGAAAATGTACAAATAAACGTCTTTCAATCGGTCTCAGGGACACACAAAGAGTGGGTCTGTGTCATTTCTACACCAGCACGTGTGGTTGGTGTGAAGAGCACTGACCCGGTTGAGACCAATGACAAAAGCCCTGAACTGCACTTTGTTTCACCCAAAGCCAATTTCAAACTCAACTATCAAAGTACACACAAGTCAAACACCGATTGGACTGTATTTATTTATTGTACTTCTAAACTACGACCCATAAATTGAAGTATCTCTTTAACTCCATGGGCGTAGCTTTTTTTAAAACATTTTTTGAGTGAATGGTGATGTTGTGCTGCACAGATCTTTCCAGGACCTTGTGTCCATGGTTTATGCACACATAGATAATCTTTCTAGCACTTATTACAGAGCATGTTGACTTATTCAAAGACATGTGCACCTCAAACCAACTTCTGGGCCAGATGGCTGTCCTGGGCTCATTGGAGTGGCTCATGCAACCATGCCCTCCAGGTTTTTCGGGACCATGTTCACCTGCTTGCACAAATCACATCTGCAGCTGGGTTTTTTTTGTGTCTTTTCTTAGCAATGCAGGGCATGCCGTTGCCCTTGCGGAGGTCTGTCGAGGTTTTTTCAGTATCGACAGAGCTGAGCGTGTGACCTGAGGTGACAGAAGCTGCTTGACGCTCTGGCGTCTGTCTGATAGTAAACGCCTCCTTCCTGTCCCTGTCGTGCGTTTCCGGGCTCTCTCTTTCATTGCTCAAAGGCGGTGCTGCCACATCAGCTGTGAGCCGTCAACATCCGGGACACGAGTAAGGCCTCTGGTTTTTCTGTTCTAGATGGGCCCTGTTGGAGGTGGAGAGGCAGTTTTTGTAGAACAGCACACAGAACGTCCTGATGATCTCTTCCTCTGTTAAAGATCATGGACTCTCTGCTGAGGACGCCACCATAACAAACTTGTATCTAGTGTAGAAGTTCAAATGTTTTAAGCTAAACCATTTGGAACCCATTTTTTCTTCATGTGGCATTTTAGTCGAAGCCGCCGCTTAATATCCAGCTTCATACTCTCCATCACTATACTGCGAGCCTCAGAGTATCTGAGAAACTGGTACGTTAAGTGAAAAAAAAGTTTGTGCGACCTACTTTGTTCCATTCACCTGGTTAGATTTATTGAACCCCTCCTCGTCTCTGTTAAAAGATAACATTTATATATGCAATCTATAAAAGTGAAGTTCAGCAAACCCTTAATTAAATGTAATCATTTAAGAAAAATGATAATGTATTCTACAGTAGTCTGGACTTGTTATCTTAAAATCATTTTCTGTGTCAGTGTAAGTGGTCGGGTCGAGAAACAGCCCGCCTCCGTACAGTTACCATAAAGAACTGGTGCACAGTTCACTTCCTAACATTTTGACTGACGGAGACCTGCCGTGCGCACTAAGATGAGCTTCACAGTGATTCTGGCTTTACTCTGCACCTTCAGTGAGTACGAACACATAATTTTTTTCTTTTAGATATTCACAGCTCTGTCTGCAGTACTCCAATAGAACTGATACACGATTGTCACCTATGACATTAGTTCAAGTTATTTATTGGTTCTCGCTAAATTTGGACTCTCTGTGTGTTTGTTTCAGGTTGGGTCTCTGTGTCGGTGTCAGAGTTTCACACTGTGGAGGTCCAGCCTGGTGAAGAGGTCACTCTGCTGTGCTCCAATCTGACCAAATTTATTACTCACATATACTGGTTCAAACTGGCCGACAGACTTAATGCCAGCTGCATCTCGTATATGGTCAGTTCTGACTCCAATGCTTCACTTTGTGCTGGATATAAACATGATCAATTCAAAATGACCTCCAACATCACAAAGCTTTTTCTGAATATCAAACAAGTGGATTTCTCCGACTCTGGACTTTATTTCTGTGGATTTTACAGAGATGGACACTCTGTCTTTTTCAGTGCAACACATTTACAGGTTCAAGGTAAGACGTAAGTCATTGATATTGTAGTGACTGTGTAATTACTCCATAATAACACTGCTGTGTACAAACTGTGACAGTCTCTCCTGTAGATGCGTGTAACGGGTTAACAAATCAACTGATCATCATCCTGGGAGGTGGAACTATTTTAATCATAACAGTCATCATCTGTCTGGTTGTCATAATCAGGACATTTCATACAGGTAAGCTTTCATAAAAGTTTTAGATTCAGAAAATAACATGATCTCATCTCTGAAATGAATAACTGACCAGATTAAATGTTTTTGTCATTCAGCCCCAACTGAGAAACAGAATCTACAAAACGCAGAGGTAATAACAATCTTATTTCATTATGTTTTACGTTTATTGATAGTATATTAAGATATTAATATACTGCAACTTCCTTCATTCACAGACGTCCTCTGAAGCCCTCAACTATAAAGCAAGAAGTTTCCACCCTAAATTAAGAAGGCGCAGAGAGCTGGAGACACATGTGTTGTATGCTGCCACCAAATAAACTCACAGACCAATGAAGACAGATGCTCAGTAGAATTAGTCCTTTCAAAAAAAAATCTATTGAAGGTTGTGTGTATTTTGTTGAATTACATTG